GAGGAATGAACAGTTTTTGACCTTTTTTTTTTTTTGGTTTTTAAGAAAGCAATATTCATTACCATTTTCTTATTCTTTATTTTCAGATACGAAGAAATCCAAAGATATATTAAGCTACGTTTGAAAGAATTGGAAAAGTTTTCGTTAGGTTAAAGGAGAACATGTGTTAAAACACAATTTTTGACTTTTTGATGCTAATTTTAATCAGCTGTATATTTCTGAGTTCAAAGTAGAAACAATGTTTTTTAACTTTCAGCAAAATAGAAATTGAAGAATTAGGTTTAGGTCAATGTACTAAACATACTTGTAATAATAAGATGCAATAATTTATTGTGATAACTATTGACATTTACATACTGAACCAGTTTTTTTATGTTATTACCTTTAATACCATTGCATGTCAATAAGTCACATATTTCACACTTGTATTTCAAAATTGTAATTTCTTAACTTATTCCTCATCACTGGTTTAGCCATATGTACCATATAGTTAAGGCTCAACTGTTTTTTAAAATGTGTTCTTATAATTACTACATTTTCTTCATAATCTGTTTGTCATAGTTTTAAAGATAGTGTTTACTAAAACAGTGAATTTAAAGAAAAATCTTGGCATGGTAGTAAACTCCCAGGGAGTTCAAGAACGTAAGAAATATAAGTTATTTTTCAAGTGTCTTTAACTGTTTTTACTTAATAATGAAATGACTGATCACCTTAATAACAAATGGTAAAAACTGTAATTTTTTATGAATAACTGTTGTCAAAATGTGTAAATTGCGAGTATTGTCATTCTAAAGTTTAAGCTCATTGCCCAAGAAAAAAAAAACAGTTAGAAAAAAAACAGGACTTTATTGAGGTAAAAAAAAGCTTAAAAGACTTGGCCCTTTTTGGGGACAGTTCATTTTAATTTATTTTTTTATGGTTTGAGTTATTTTTTCAAAAACTATGTTGTCTATTTTGCAACTTAGAAGCTTGTGGCAGCTAGGTAAACTACAGTAAATGAGATATGATTTGACAGTTAACTACTTTTCAGTTGAAATTGGAAAGGGCTATGGTTAAAAATACGTTAGCTACAACACTTCAAGTCAACCTTGAAAAAATTTAATTTTCAATCATTATTTTAATCGTTTGTGTCAGTCTCATGTTTCTCTGAAAGTGCATTAAAACCATTTACATACTATTTAGCTTTTAAACTGTTACATCCATTTAAAATCTTTCATTTAATCTTATCATACAGTGAAAATTTATTTGTATAGAATTTTACTTTTATGAAATACACTCCTGTCTTCAATTTTTGACAAGAAAAATTGCACACACACACACCATATTTTATTATCTTTAGTGCTGTATGTTATTAAATTTTTGGTAAATTCTAAAGTACTTATACAAGTTCCCTGTTAGAGAAACCTTTTATAAGTAAATCTGTTGAATACTTATATCATTTAGGCTCTTTGCTGGAAGTTATTTGAAACTGAAACCAAGTTCTTCAATCTTTTCTGCACCTGTTTTGATATACAGTTTTTTCTGTAATTTATGTTTGTCATGTTTTTCGATAACATTGTGAATTCTCTATTCCATTTTATTTGTCTGTTCAGATATATACCCTACTCCATCCACTTCTCTCCCAGTAAAATAAGTATTATCTTATAATACATCTTCCCCTAGAGTATTTTATTTGATTAGTCATGAACAGGCTTAAAAATTTACTTTAGAAAAGGCTTCATAAAAAAAAAGGCTGATTTTCAATTTTAACTTTTCATTTTACCACCCACTATCTTCTAGTTAAAATTGCCAGTTAATATGTTTTAGTGTATCACAATTCCTTGTTTTTATCACCTTGTAATTTATGAATTTCAATTCTTTATTATACTCTAATCAATTCATACAATAAAAAACATGTAAATGTGTCTACTCCCATATATACACACTTATATATATATTGATATGTTTTTATTTTTTCTCAAGAGTTTCTAAGTTACCCATTAATGAGGTTTCTCTACTAATTTTTAAGTATTTCTGGTGACATTTGTATCATTTACAAGTGGATCAGTTTGTATGACATAGGTGACTGTTTTTTCTTCTTTCTGAATACTAATGTAAAAAGGTTTTTACTTTAGTTTTATGTATGTATACATTATTTCCAATGTTATAGTGGTCCTATGTCTAATTCCAGAAAAGTTTATTTATAAAGTTTGTTCAATCTAATGGCTGAAAGTAAAATAAAAATGCATTATAAAAGCAAATGAGAACATACAAGATTATGTAAATTATTTGATTTCAGGATTTTCTCAATATTCTTTCAAAGTTGCTTTGTATGACATTAGGACTTTATGTAATTGCAGAAAAAAAGAAAAGAATAATTTCATGAGAATAGATACCCTACAACATATTATTTCTTGCCTTTTAAAACTTATAAACCTTTGACATGCTAGACAAACACAACGCTTAATAGATTGTAGATTAGCACCTAACCTGTTTAGGGCAATTAAAAAAAATGTTTTATAAATGATTTTACAGAGATAATTGGATAGTATTTTGATTCAGTACTTAAGTACATCAAAAATAACTTTGCTAAGCTTTGTGTGGCACTGAATTTGTTTAACTCTCATAGATACAAGTACAGTTGAAAAGTTGTTCTCTAACGTTATGGTTTGTTGTTACTGGTAAGGGTGATCTATACATGTATTTGTTGAAACCTAATTAGTTGGTTCTTTGTGAAAAATATATCTTTTAGTCAACATTTTTTCTGAGAATAACTGTTGATTAAAAATATGCATAAAGATATACTTACTTAAATAACTATGTGACAATACTTTAGAGGTTTCACTGTAGTTTGTACCTACATTTACCAATCCTGTTTTCTTGATAGGTACCTGGTGTCACACAATCATTCCACTATTATTAGTATTATTGCAGCAAATTGTATAGTTTTTTTGTACACTAAAAGATTATTTATTGTACTAAACTATTTGTCATCAAAATATATTTTATTACTCCCTGGGAGGAACTCGAAAGATTTTAACATAATTAAAAACTTTTTTTTTATAGTCAGCCACACAATAAACATAGTATAAAACAACATTTTGCTATTTCGTATGCATGAGGGATACAATATGTAGTAGATTATTTCTGTAAGGAAAGCATTTGTTTGAGTGAAATGAGTTTTCATGATTTTAAACTCAAAATAGAGTAATGTATTGGTGTTTTTTACCCATTTTTTTAATAACAGAAAGACAGTATTATATATTGTTTGAGATTTTAGATCGATTAAATATAACTTATTTGTGAAGTTGTTTTGTATTATAATGAATCTTGACATCTTTTGGATTATAATGATATTTTTTAATAAAGCACCAAATTTCAAGTGATTATTCATTGTATTACTTACGCATGACAAGTTAAAAACTGTGTAACTTGCATAAACAGAATGAGCCTATTTTAATTTTTACAATTAGGACCAACTGATTTTAATTTTTGTCAGCCTCATTTTATTTATTACTTGTTTGATTGCAATATATATGTAATTCTGATTGCAATAACTTTACATAAATAAAAATTGATTGAGCTGATTTAATAGTTTTTTCACAACTTCACTCAAAATTAGCTGTTTACTTGCATTTCCTTGCTAAAAAAACAACAATGGCCTCAAGTGTTAAAATCGTTAGCTACTGATGTGACTTGTTGTTGTATGGGACCAATCATACTGTTATAATGCCAAAGTTAAAATCTGTATTTACATATTACAAATGTATTTTGATACTGAAACACATACCCAAAAGCAGTATTTTAGAAAGACTGAAGTTTGTTTAAAATGTCTGGAGTAAGTAGAAAAAGGTTTATTAAATTGAAAATTCAAATTTGTCTTATATTTTCATCAGTATAATGTTTATGTGGTTTGCTGGTTTTGATCTTGCCTTAATCACTTTTACTGCTAAGATGCATAGTTAGAAGGAAATTGCGTGCTATATTTGAACTTTTCAAACGTTACCAGAAGTTGTACAGTTAAATTTTCTATGTCAACTTTTCTTCATTGCTAATGTAATTGTCTAATTCAAAAAAAAAAGGAATCTTTGTCACATTTAAATACATGATGATAGTGTGTGTTATGAATAAAGATAGTAAATGATGTAGGTAAAGTTCGTTTTTGTATTGAAACATAACTAATAAGCTTTATTATTGGCATTATATACAAGAAGTTGTGATGAAAAAAGGAAGTGTAAATATATATAATTATATTTCAGATTGTAGGTGGAAGTAAATATTAAAGATAATAAAAACTAACAGCCTTCTTATGCACCAGTTTTCATAAGATGGTACAGAATTTTTTTAATCGTATGTTTTTATCTGAGCTATTAATTAACAAGAACTTTCTTCCATTTATCATTTATGGTTCTCTGTAAAAAAAAATCGTAGTGTATACTGGAGGGATTTAGAAATTGTAGCAATAAAGTTAGAGAATAAAGTTAGTTTATTGTTCAGATAATAATAAAAATGTTTCAGCTAACGTTTCGCCATTGTCACTTCGTCAAGGATAGCTAGTAGTACAAACAATTCTTGTACCACTAGCCCTGATGAAACTGTAATGGTGAAACGCTGGCTGAAATATTTTTTTTTATTGTAAGGAGAATAAAGCATTTTTTTTCAAACTTTATTGCCAAAAACTGGTACTGTACTATTTAAATTTTTTCAGCCAGTTTATCTTCTTTCTTTTTTCTCACATATACGGTATCAAAGTAAATCATGTAAAATTTACCTTTCCTAAAGATAAGTTTCAACACTTTTGTATTATATGTTAAGTAAATCTGTAGATGAAATGTGTTAGATGTTATATTCTTTGTGAATTGCCTTTATAGAATTTTACAGGGTTTTCTTCAATCAGTATTGTTTGTAAGTTTTTGATTTTTGTCAAATGGTACTGTCATTTTCACTGGAAGACAGCAACAGATTTCCTAGTCAATAGTATTATACGTTTTATATAAATGTATATGTTCTCAATTTTTCCGTTCTTGATAAGATGTTAACACGTCTATCGTGTAGTTCTTGAATACCTATAAAGTTTTCACATATTCAGTGTTAGTTATATTTTAAAAATAAAATAATATCTTTAATTATTCACCTGAATCGTGTTTTACTGTGTGAAGAGTCCATAAAGTGATCAATGTTTAGTGTGCTGGACTATAGAGATAGGGTTCAGTGGGTCGTGTTTTGTTATTGTGAAACACTAAAAAAATAAATGGTTCAGTGGGTCGTGTTTTGTTATTGTGAAACACTAAAAAATAAATAAATCGCGCTCTTCACTTTGGGGCCGTGGGTACATTACAATTAATAGTGACGATAAAATCTCACCATTCAGTCTGACAAGAGTAGCCTAGATGTTAGCAATGGATGTTGTTGACTGACTAGCTACCTTCTCTCTAGTCTATCACTTCAAAATTATGGACGGCTAGCGCAGATAACCCTCGTGTAGCTTTGCGCGAAATCCAACAAACAAATATAAAGTTTGAGTATTCATGTGTTAACCTTTCATTATAGGATGTTTAATTATTTGTTTGTGTAATATAATTAGAAGATTGGTGCTGTAGCCTTCCGAAAATGTTAAGAGTGAAGGCTCCAATCATTAATTTTTGTGTATTTAGGTTGTGGGTTTAGGGCATTAATTTTGTACTCATTACCAATGTATAAACCACATTTTGTAAAACCAATTATTTAATTAAGATGGTGCTGAACTATTTCAATGCAAATTGAAAACTTGTAGTGGTATTTCTTTTTAGCGAATATACTAGTTAGATATGGGTATGATTTATATAAAAATACAAATTGGTTGTCTAAGTACATTTGTCAACAAAGTTGTGATTTTTGAAATTTTCTGTACTTGCTGTTGTATACGGTTATGTGTATCACAAGTCAGTCACTTGGTGTTCAAAGCATGCTATAGAGATTTTGAAAATGATTACAGTTTTTGGAATAATAAAACATTTTCTTTACCTATTAGTAGTTTTTGATTCTTCATATTTCGTTGTATTGAAAGCAATGAACTATTTTCTATAATAAATAACGTACACGTATCCTTTTGAATTTCTTGAATAAATTGTAACACAGAAAGAATATGTGAATGCTTTTACGTGAATATAAATGTAACAACTAATAAGTAGCCACGTGCTACAACTACTTTAATTTGATGTTTGAAGTACTGTGTAAATAAAGGTCTTCGTGTTTGAAGCACATTTCACGAACAAACAACTCTAGGACAGTAATGTAATACAGAAATAACACTGGACGTTTTGTTTTCTTTCTTTTTAATTTCTCTTTTTGAAATACTGCATTGGAATTACGGAGCTTGAACTCGGCACATTAAACTAGTTTGTGCCAAACAAGGTATATAAAAAATCAGTAAAAATTAAATCCTCTCTGTAGGAATCGTACACTGTAAAAGCAAAAAAAAATCAACAACAGTAGATGATAAATTACACTATTTTGAATGTATAATTTCAAACAGCCAATGGCCGATAAGCCTCGTAAGAAAGTAAAAATTATGTTAATTTGGATAGTGTTAGCATTCCCAGTGACGCTGTCCAACGTTAAAAGGAAGTTAAGAAGAAAAAATTACCGCCACAGAGCAGCGACGACAGGAAAGCAACATGTAATAGTTAAAAGAGCGTCACAATGTTTACACATTGATGTTCATTTTCAAATAGAAGATGTCGGTGGGAACTGTTATCTAATATACATTTTTTTAGATAAATTGTATAGTAAAAATACTTGTAGACAACGATTACGGTATTTTGGGGCTGGATATAGCTTATTCAAGGATTATGAGATGTCTACTATATCCAATATAAATGTTCTATTTCATATTCTTGCAACAAACGCGTGGAAACGATCGAAAAGCTTAGGAATAAATACGGGATTTAGGTAAATAAGCTACTTTTACTTTATTTTTTAAATATTGCGCACAATCATAAATTTAAGTAATACATAGTGTAAATAATGTACATTGCAATAGATGTAAATCATGTAGTAGGTAACCAAAGTTGTTCGTTTTTGTTTTACTTCAGATTTTGACATTCAAAACCAGTAGTCAACTATTGCTTGAATTTAATTGTTAATGAATTTTGAATCAGAAAATTATAATTAATTCCGCCCCCCCCCCTTTTTTGAGAATGATACTGAATTATATAAATTTAAAATGCATTCACCCTTCGTATATGGGACTGGTCATTTTGACTAACCTTGTAACCATGAAACTATACATAACAATTTATTAAGTATATCACCACGAAATTTAAAAAATATTTGGTAATCACTACAAGTCTGTTGTGCACACACACAAGAAACAGATGTTTTAATCAAGTATTTTTACTAAATATTTCGGTTTGGCATATTATGGTGAGTTGTGGGTTCGAATCTCACCAATGAACATGCCGTGGAGGCGTTATAATGTTATGGTCAATCCCACTATTTGTTGGTTAAGAGTAGCCCAAAGAGTTGGGGATGGATGGTATTGATTAGTTGCTTTCCTTCTAGTCTATCACTTCTAAGTTAAAGATGGGTTGCACAGATAGTCCTCGACAGTACAAAACAAACAAATCACGTGCAAGATGATTTTCATGTTAAGGATAAAAATATATTTTTTTAAAACTTTGTATTTCGTCTGTTGTTTCTCTACTTTAATACTGTATACAGGCTCTGTATACATTTGATTGACTTAAAAACTACCAGATAAAAATATATGTAGTAAATCTAAATCACCCTTTTTTTCTCTCTAGTTTCTGCAAATTGTAGCAGACAATTACATATTATTTTCAAAGCCAAAGCAGATAAATTGTTCATTTAGTTTTACTTCTTTACATTTGCATTTAGGCCCTTTTAGAGTACTGCGATAGCTATATATTGCCTGGAACATCTTTGTGTAAATAAAGGTTCCACATTCCAGCACGATCGTCGAATTACACAATTACGCTCGCAATATGCGGGTGGTATAACAGTCGGCCTAATTCTTAGTAAGGATAGTGTGGTCGCAGAAATAATTTTTTAAATTCAAATATGCTACTGAGAAGACGAAATATTGCTATGTATATAAAATAGAATGTTCTAAAACAAATAATTTATCTAGGTTTCTAACTAAGCTATAAATAGATTTAAAAAGTTCCATGCTTGGTCAACAGAGTTCCAACTGTGGTAAACATTGTAAACAACTACGAATTACTCAAAACCAGTTATCTCAACGGCTCCACGACCGTCACCTTCAGTAAACTGAAATAATCTCTTTCTATTGGTTAGAAATAATCCAACACCAAATGTCGTAGAAAACTGGCATTTTTTAAAAGATTTTCTTCTTTATTTTGTTTCTTTTAGAGCAAGACCACGTTGGGCTATCTGCTGTGCCAACCTTGGTGAATCGAACCCCGAATTTTAGTGTTGTAAGTTCGTAAACTTACCTTTGTCCCACTTGGAGACTTTTGAAGGACAAAATGTGGGTTTCACTTTATTTCGTACAGCAAAGCAAAAAGACTGTAGGCTACAAATTGACATTTTAGCCCTGGAAGATATATAGTATATGTGTTAAATCTAAAATAGACAATGTGGAGAAAACGTGTCATGTGATACAGAAAAGTGAAAATCGAAAATGTATTTAAATATTTCTTTTTGAAATTAAAACTTAGTTATTTAAATCTGAATTGTAAACTGCGTTTTTTTCGTAATATGTGCACTTGTCAGTCAAAATGACCAAACCGGTATACATAGGACTCGTTAATATTCCAACGTTTGATCATACATAATTCTGAATATACAAGGGAATAAATAATGAAATCTTCAGTTTCAAATTCATCTATAAGAATGTATTCCTCTGTCATCTTATGTTTTTTTAACTTTTGTATAGTTAGGTTTCGTAAAAGTCAGATATTTGAAACGTCATTTAATGTTACACAGGTGTAGTGTTGTCCATATTAACGTACGAAACATGCCGAGGTTTGTTTTCTTAAGTCAAAATCAAACTCTTACTATTTGGTAGTTAAATGACAGAACAATCAGAATAATAACATAAAAATCATTTTTACATAGTATATTAAATCAAAATGTCTTAAAAATAATAACTCAAACTCCATGGATCACACAATTATAAATAAAGGTTATAAATCACCAAATATAGTTTCCTTTTCAAGCAAATATGCTTCTTTTGATTAAGGGACAAAATGTGTGTATACAAATATAAAGAAAAATATAATGTGTACTAGTAGCTTAACAAGAGAAATATAACTGTTTTAACGAACTTACAGAGAAATATACATTAATTTGTTTTGTTCTTATTATTGAATTTTACGCAAAGCTACTCGAGAACCACCTATGCTAGCCATCTTTAATTGCCCCCCAGTATGTCTGTGGACTTAACCGCTAGAAACCGGGTTTCGATACCCGTGGTGGGCAGAGCACAGATAGCCCTTTGTGTAGCTTTGTGCTTAACTACAAACAAACAAAAAAAAAGAAAACCATCTCTAATTTCGAAGTAACAGACTAGAGAGAAAGGCAGCTGGTCAACACCTCCCACCACCAACTTGTAGGTTGTTCTAGTCAAATAGTTGGGTTTGGCTGTCACTCTTATAATGTACTCACAGATCCAAAGTGCGTAGTAAGAATTTTTCGGTGGTAACAGGGCCCAAAACACACAATTTCGAGACCAGTCTGGCATGCTACTCATAACGCCGTACTCGGCTTTTATGCATTCATACGAATGGTGTTCAGAAAGTATTTGTATTTATGATAATGCTACAAAGGCTTATGTGCCATCATCACTAATTTTGATTTCCTGACTAAAGGGAAGGTAGCACCCGACCTTTCACGTTAATGGTTGCCTGTCAATCTAATTATATACCCATTGCTTAAATTGAAGGGGGGATATTTTTAGATAGTTCACTTCAGAGTTCTAACATAGTGAAAACCTGCACCCTAAAACAGGATTTTATTTCTCATAATACAAACATATCACATTACAACCGATTAATGTACGACGACAGTGTTAAGGACCGAAGCATAAGAAGTCAATTCTTAACGTATTATTTGGTAACTACGATCAATTTTCTTTGTCATTCCATTAGCTTAATCATATCATTATAGTAAAATGCAAGTATGGTTTAATCACATCTAGTATCTGAAAGTTTGTCCATACAGATTGTTCTTGAGAAGTAAAAAAAAAACAACAACAGAAAAATGCAAGCTAGAGGGTTTTGGTTCATAACTATACGATGGAGAAGAGCTGTTCATCCAAACACCTCAATCTGTGTATGTTATATGACGGAAAATCCAGGGCTTAACATTATCGTGTTGAAGGTGAACAGTTAGCTCCAGCGAAATACTAATCTATTAACCCAAACATTTATATGTTCCAATTTTCTGATATCCAGAGCATTGGAGCGAAAATTATTTTCTGCTTTTGAATATCCCTTTCACATAGCATGGTCAAACGAAGAAAATATATATATATTAAAAACTTGATTTCATAATAATGAAATAGTTGATGAACCATTAAAAAGACTTTCTAAATAAAGGGAAGAAGGAATACGAAATCTTCTCATAGCTTATTGAAAGTATGGTTCAAGGAACCTTCAATTTTTTACCGAACATCAAAGTCACGGCAAGAAAACAAGATACGTACCATACTTAAAAACTGTCAGAGTGGATGGTTATTTCCCAGTAAAATATGTCATTGAGTTAAAAAAGAATGGCTAGTGTGGAATCTCACTAAAACAATTTCCTTTTTACGAACTCCTTGCAAAGTACATGGCTTATGTTCTATTACACCAAACAGAGAGAGCATATAACTGTAGCAGACATAGGCATCGTCGAAGGTATATTGTGGGCAATAATAGTATCACCACAAAACATGATTAAACTAGCCAAGTCAAAAAGAATGGATAGCCCAAATAGCATCCAGAAAAGGGAAACTGGAACTTTTCGTCCCTTGTATCCGACTTATTACACTGACTCA